TCTTTCCGTCCGCACAGCTCCTGTTTGGGATTTCGGTCGTTTCGAGATTCGCCCTTCAAGGAGCCTTTGGCTCGTTGGAGCTGTGCTCCCGTGCGGTGTTCTCGGGCTTCATCTCCTCTTTCCCGATGCCCCGGGAGCGCCACTGCGTACTGAAATTGACGTCATCAAGCCTTCCGCCTTTCCTCCGTTCCGAGGTGGCTCTCTCGCACATCCCTTACTGCTGAGTGAGCCCTCCGTTCTGGACCGAGACGCGAAGCCGATCCGCTGGATCCTTCGCAGGTGTCGATTTCATCGACCAATCTTGATTCTCATCACCTTCGCTCTGACTTCTTGTTATCATCCTCGCTCCTTGCCTCATCTACCTGTAGCTACTCACGATGGCGACTAGTCTACCTTGTACAGCCCACGCGACTAGACGTCAAGTCTACTCTATACTCAAAAAATCATACAAAAAACTACACATCTACTGTACAAATACAGGACACCGTCGCGCCTCTCTCTATTCATTTAGCCATAAATATCGTGAGCATCTCCTCGTTTCGTTAGAGGGTGCGGCTCCCATGCCTCGCCGCCCTACACCTGACCCAGAGAGTGCATCCCCGGCTCGCGTCGCGTCCAAAATACTCAAGACGTGGGCCCTACCCCCGCCAAGACACCCCTCACCGCCCCACCAAATCCTCCACCGTCGGCACGCAATACGCCGCATGGCTCAGCGTCGCCCACAGCAGCGCGTGCACCACCACCACCGCGTCCAGCAGCCACCAGCCCTGCGCCGGCTTCAGTTTCGCGGGGGTGTACGCTTGCGTCTCCCGCTGCAGCAGGGCAAGCGCGTTGGTCAAGGAATCAGACGCATTCGACGTGGCGCGGGTAAACGACAGAGCCGTGTCCGCCGACGTCACGCGGCTAAGTGCGAAGGGGAGGGTGGAGGCAGAATCATTCGACGTCGCGCGCGACAGCGCAAGCTTCGCGTCCTCCGGGCCCGCGAGCGTCTCGGCCGACTCGAAGCCTCCCCCACTCAAAGGCGCAGACGCACCCGCCGCCTCTACGTACGCCGCGAGCATCCGCCCCGTACACCGCTCCCAGGGGTAGTCCGCCGCGGCTGCTAGGGCGGCGCTGCCCATCGACGCGCGCGTCGGCGTGTCTTCCTCTTCCTGACTCTCCCCATTGTCCCCTTCACCCGCTTCCCGATCTTCACCCTCACTACCCTCTTCCCCACCACCCGCGCCACCGAACGTATCCCCCGCGTGCAGGCCATCGCAAGAATCTCCCGCACCAACACCAACGACCTCCTTACAAACCTCCTCCAAAAGCGCGCCCTCACACACGAGCGCCTCGAGCAGGCGCGCATAGCGCGCGGCGAGGAGGGGGAAGGAGGGCGCGGACGGATGGAGGAGGGGCGCGAGGGTGTGGTAGGAGGCGACTGTGTGAGGGGTACGGGAGGAAGAGGACGGGGAGGACTTCACATTGGCTTTGTGCGAGGAGGGTGCGGATGTGGGGGCGGAGGCGGAGGCGGGGCGGGCGCGCTTGGTGTCGGAAGCGGAAGCGGAGGGTAAGGGCGGGTCCGCGCTGGGCTTCAGATCGGCATTGCACTTGCTATCTGCGGCGGCGGCGGCCTTCCCGTCTTCGGAAGCGGTGTGCAGGGTGAAAGACCCCGCCAGCGCAGGCTCCGGCAGCACGAGCCCCGGGACGTGGGCATCGCGCGCGCTGTGCATCGTAGGCGTATTCGGCGGCGTCAAAAGCCCGCACGGCGCCATGTCCGTCGCAACGCAATCAGAGTCGGAGGCCGGGAGGTTGGGCGACGTGGGTGGGGTGGGGAGGCCGTGTGCCATTCTGGGCGCAAGATCGCCGCAATCCGCGAGATCGGGGGTAAGATCGGCGCAATCGATGTCGAGGACGGGACTAAGACAAGCGCCATCCCACGCGGGGGTGGATAAGACAGGCGCGGCCGGACGCAGGTACGAGGGGCGCTTGCGTTTGCTTCCTGTGTCCACCTGCTTGCTATCCCCGTCCTCCACCCGCTTTCCGTCCTTCGACGGCGCGTAACCAGGAGCGCCTTCGATGGAAGACCCACGAACACCCGCCCACCCCTCCCGCACCGCCCGCTCCACATCCAACAACAGCCCCGTCCGCCCGTGCGCGACGAGGTCGGCCGTGCCTTCGACCCAGAGCCCGACGACGGGGAGGCCGGAGGCTAGGCCTTGGAGGGTGACTTGGCCGAAGGTTTCTGTTATTGAGGGGGAGCTGCGTGTGTGTGATGAGTTAATGGGCATAAATGGAAGAAGTGGGGAGGGAGGGAAGAGGGAGGGAGGACGAGGAGGGGAACGAAAGAACAAAAAGGAAGGACGGGGAATAAAGACACGAATCAAAGCAAGGAAGGGAATAAAGACACGCCACCCACCTCAACAAATCCCCACTCGCCACCGCCTCGCCCAGCCTCCGCCCCGTCAGCTGCCCCATCCACACCACCTCCCCTTCCTCTCCGTCCACTCCCACTCCCTCTACCCCATCCCTATCTTCTTCTCCCTCACTCGGTCCTCTCCCTCTCGTCGTCCGCTCCCTCAAGCCCCGCACCTTGCACAAAAGCCGCAACTCCTCCCGATACGGCCCGTCCCCCACGAACACCAGCTTCGTGTGCGCGCGGACGGCGGGGGGGAGGAGCGCGTAGGCGTGGATGAGGAGGGGGAGGTTCTTCTCGGGGGAGAGGCGCCCCACTGAGAGTATGACGATGGTGGAGGGGGAGGCGCCCCAGGAGCGCCGGAGGGTGGGAGAGCGGAGGGCGGGCTATAAAGAAAGTCAGATACATAGAAAATACGAGTCGACCGAGGAAAAGGATAATAAGAGCGAGACAGTACATACATCAAACGCGCCCTCCTCAACCCCCCTCCCAACGACTCTCAAATTCTGCCACCCCTTCGCCCCCAGCAGTCCCCGCGTGCTCTCGCTCGGCACGAGCGTGCACCGCGCGAAGGAATGGAGGAACGCGTGCACGGCCCAGGTGCGGTGGTGGAAGTACGGGTAGCCGAAGACTGCGGCGTACGTGGGGAGGTTGGTGTGGTGGGACGTTATGATGGGCGTGGCGGGGAAGAGGATGTGGAGGGCGAGGAGGGACTGGACGCCGAGCCAGATGGGGTCGACGAGGTGGATTACTGTGGGGGTGAAGGCGCGGAGGGCGGCCAGGAAGGCGGGGGAGATGAAGCTGCGGTGCGCGCGTTAATTGAATTAATGCGTAGGGAGGGTGAAGACAAAAACGCGCACTTGATCTTGAGCCCCGGGTACACGCGCAGCGGGACGCCAAACGTGCCGAACAGCTTGCACCCTGCATACTCCGCCTGTATTCGACACGGACGGTCAGCACGACCATGTGCCGGAAAGAAAAGGATGCGTACCATGCCGCTCTCGGGCCCAAACAGCATCGTCGGCACACCGCTGCGCTGGAGGTGCTGCAGCAGGTGCGACAGCGTGATCGTCGATCCGTCGATCTTGGGTAAAAAGTTCTCTAGCCATCCAATCAGCCGTCTCCCATATATTGAAGAGGAAGATGAAACCCACCAGTGACGATGGCCACGCGTAGCGCCGCGGGCGGCGGAAGCCTGGGTCCGTTTGCGCGTTCGCTGTCGTCCATCTAGGTGGCGAGTATCCTCCAATAAGTCTAAGCCTAAGCAGCGAGGCGTCCGGGAAGCGCGGGGAGCCAAATCGACTCGACGCGGACTACGCGCGTGCCTTATATGTAGGCTCGATGATTCGATTCGAAGCGCTGCTGAAATAGTCCGAGCTAAAGATCGGTCCGAGTCCGAAGCCAATATGAATTCGCCAAACGCCGCACTTCGCCTTAGTAGCCAGCCAGTATATCCCATTCGGTTCGAGAGGGGTGGATAGCGCGTCTCCAGGATCCCGCACCCTCCATCCGCAGCTGTTCCCGCGTCTATGACCCCAGTAGGGCGCGGTAGCAAGGCCGAAGAAGCTACATTAAGGCCGGCGGGAATGGAGGGGCAGCAGCAACGTGCTTGCGCCCACGCACGTGAAGTCTTGCGCTTGAACTGCCCAATTGCCCGTCGGGAACGGAGGGAAGAACGTGGGCCTTTGCGAGGAGAATTTAGAAACAATTGCAGGACGAAATGGAACGAAGCGACGTTCGGGAAGCGCGATTGAGTGAGAGCGAGAGAGACGTTCAGTGATTGGTAATCTGTGTAAATAGAGGCAAAGGGAGGCACCGCCTCTGATGGCGCCTTTTCACACCAAACATCCCACGATTTTTCTGCTTTACACTCATCTACGATTTCTTTTCAGCCAAATTCCATTCACGATGAATTGAAGCTTGATTCCTGGGGCTCGTCGGTTGGCAGGAATTCATCGGGAAGAACGGTTCTTTTACCTTGCTTCAGACAGTGCGACTTCGTCAACTGGATATACCACGTACTACGGCCCTGGGGTACCGGGTCAAACTTCTTGTACGTAGGCTTCTAAAATCTCTGGTGGAAGCAAAAAAAGGATGATGGCAGTCTCCGTCTCCATGCACCAGCGAGGAGTTGAACCCCTGTTCGTCGTAATAATCGACTTCGAACCGTGCATAACTGTATTGAAGCAACGTGTGTGTATCGTACACTACCGATGCGCTTATTTTAACAAAGTGTACTTGACTAAGTATTCCCGGTAGGTGGAGACAAAAAAATCTTCAAACTCCGGATCAATGCACCGGCGGGGAGTCGAACCCCGACTCGTCGTTAACCTTTTCCGTTATCTCGAAATTGAGACGACTGTGTGCCGCACACCACGATGCCTTTCCTCTCTCAAATACTCCTCAAATTTATGTGCATCCAGCGGGGAAAAAATTATCAACACGAGCCACCCTCCTCGGTGTGGAATTCGAACTTTGACCAAATTTGCCCTCGGCACACAGAGAGAACGTTTATTTGATTCACTGCGCCTTCCTAAGCTTGCGTTGACTGTAAAATATTAAGTCTTTTGAGTGGAACCAGAAAAAAAGCCTGCGCAATGGAGAATGCACCGGCGGGGATTCGAACCCCAGCTTGTCGTAATAATCGATTGACAATCCGCATATCGAAGCGACGTGTGTACCGTACACCACCGGTGCACTTCCGTCTACCAAAATGCACCTGACTTTGAGTGAAAAGAGAGAAAAAGATGGTCAGTCAAGTAAAGCGAACGCGCCAACTTGTATGTAACAGTTAAAATTGAACGAGTGCGGGGCAGCACCGAAGCGTTTTCATCTGATAATATTCATGGTCGACTTGCAATGTGTTGTATTTGAGATTGCTCGCCATTCACCACTCGTTCTCCCCTCGCTCTTACTGACTCCAGAAGCGTGTTGGATAAAGCGTACATTTTTGGATAGTCCCAAACGAAAACCGTTCGCGTCATGAAATGACGCTAGCATGGGGTCGATGACAAGAGGGACAATTTCGATAAACATCAGCCGGTTGTCCAAAATCTAAGAAACATAATTAACTGAGCGAGTGTTGACATAGGAAGGAGGTTCCCCAACTTACTTAGTATTTATTTTGTGTTCCGAAATTTTGGTTCAATGCATTTCTGCCATTTAGTACCATGGACAAAGCGGGTGAGGTCCAGCTTCGTGGTTCCTCGGGCACGAATAACAACCGTATTATGGGGAAGGTATAGCCCCTCGCGGAGCCAAGGGGGAAGCCAAAACATGAGTTGCCCTTCGTGGTTCGTTACCCATCCAGTGTTTGAGTCGAATGTTGGGTAAATTCCCAAAGGACTTTCAAGCGAAGGGTTCACCTGGATGGGAGGTAAGTTTAAGTGCCGGTGTCTTTATCACGCTCACCTCCGATATGCGCACAGTCATGTCGACAGAGCCAGATATGATCTGCTTACCATCTCGTGAGAAACAGACAGATGTGACCCAATCGGTGTGTCCTGCAAATGGCCCAGCAATGAGCACACCTGTTTGAGCGTCCCAGACGCGGACTGTCTTGTCCCAAGACCCGGATGCGACGTGCAAACCATCTGGCGAGAAATGGACAGATTTTATTCTTTCAGTGTGCCCTTCCAACGGCCCAACAACAAGGGTGCCGTCGTGTGTGTCCCAGATCCGCACTGTTTTGTCCCAAGATCCAGTCGCGATACGCACACCGTCCGGTGAAAAATGTACGGACGTGACCAATCCCGTGTGCCCCTCTAACGGCCCAGAAACGAGCGCACCGGTTTGTGTGTTCCATATATATACAGTGTTATCGTTAGACCCAGATGCAATCTGTGTACCATCCAGTGAGAAATCGATGGAAGTGACGTGCTCAGTATGCCCTGTGAATGGCCCAGCCACGAGGGCATTGATTTGGGTATCCCAGATGGACACTGTGTGATTTCTGTCATCGGATGCGATTTGTACACCATCCGGTGAGAAATGAACAGAAGCACCAAATGGACTTGAATGCCCTCCAAATGGCCCAGCAACGAGGGTGCTGGTATGAGCGTCCCAGACGCGCACCGTGCCATCGTCAGAACCAGAAGCGATGTGCGCGCCGTCGGGTGAGGAAAAAACGGATGTCACACTGTCGGTATGCCCCTCAAACGGCCCAGCGACGAGCACCCCGGTTTGGGTATCCCAGGCACGCACTGTTTTGTCGGCAGACCCAGATATGATTCGCATGCCATCCGGTGACAGATCAAGACAAGTGACCTCGTCAGTGTGTCCCTCGAACAACCCCGAAACGAGTGTGCCAGTTTGGGTGTCCCAGATGCGTACTGTGTTGTCCCAAGAACCCGATGCAATCCGGGAGCCGTCCGTTGAGAAATGAACAGAGGTGACAGAACTTGTGTGCCCTTCAAAGGGTCCGGCCACGAGCACGCCAGTTTGTGCGTCCCAGATGCATACTGTGCAATCATAAGACCCCGATGCGATCCTGGCACCATCGGGGGAGAAACTGACAGAGGTAACGGCCCTGGTGTGTCCTCTGATCGGCCCGACAGCAAGTGCACCACTTTCAGCGTCCCATACACGCACCGTGTTGTCGTGAGATCCAGACGCGATGCGGGCCCCATCGGGCGAGAAATGGACAGAGGTAATAACACTAGTGTGCCCCTCGAATGGCCCAGCTACGAGCACACCAGTTTGGGCGTCCCAAACGTGTATTGTGCAATCTTGAGATCCCGATGCAATCGTTGTGCCATCGGGCGAGAAATTGACCGAGGTAACAGCATCGGTGTGCCCTTCAATTGGCCCGACAGCAAGTGTGCCACTTTCAGTGTCCCAGACACGAACTGTGTTGTCTTGAGACCCAGAGGCGATTCGGGCCCCGTCGGGTGAGAAATGGACAGAGGTAACTTTAAGAGTGTGTCCTTTGAATGGTCCAGCAACGAGCGCACCGGTTTGGACATCCCAGATGCGCACCATATTGTCTGCAGACCCAGATGCAATCCACTTGCCATTCGGGGAGAAATGAACGGAGGATACAGATTTGGTGTGCCCTTCAAATGGTCCAGCAATGAGGCCGCCGGTTTCAGCGTCCCAAACGCGGACCGTCGCGTCGCCACCCCCGGATGCGATGTGCCTGCTATCCGATGAGAAAAGGACTGAGTTGACAGGGTAGGTGTGCCCATGTAGCACTATCTGTATACTCGGCCAGTTGGTTCCCAATATGCTTTTAAAAGCCACCGTCTGCGGAAAGTATTGAGCAAATTGCTGGGCTATCCGGGATTTTTGGGGTGCAAACGGGACAGCTGATAGATAAATGTGTGTTGCACTTTGTGCTATGAGAGGTGCGAAGGCGGACACAAATTTGACAGCATCAGCAAAGAAATCTGCGAGGTCTTCATCGTAGCCCTAATTCCTTGTTAGAGAATTGACAAAGCAGAAACGCAAACAATCACCTTGACATAATGGGCTGCGATTCTGAGTGCTATCGATGCAGTCGGGATTTTCGTCAAAAGGCTGAGAACTTCAAGCCAATAGAGGAATTTCCGATGGAAGAGCTTGTCGAGAGCGCTGATTATCATCTGGTCGGATTGAGCTTCTTGGATGTGGTTGAACCAAAAACAGCTAGAATATGCCAAATGCGGGGAAATCATGGCTGCTACTCGATTGGATATGTCGGGCACATCTGCATTTAGAATATGTGAGTCCTCGAGGCCACATATGTTGAATCGCAGCTCGTTATTGAGTATTCGCAAGCATCCCAGAGACAAAAAACGATGTTCGATCTGCGTGTTGAGTGCCCAAGGCTGCCCGCCTGAACGACTGGCGTCCGTGAGGTAATCGGCGAATGAGGCGTGGAGCGTTCGAGCATAGGTGCCAAAACTCCACTGCACCACGCAACCTAAATATTTCAGCACGTCGGCAGAGCTTGAATCACCAGAGCCAAGGAGGATGTCCATGGTTCCATCGCTCATCGGCACTCTTCCGAGTACAACACATGCCAAAACAGCACGAGCATCCTGTGCAAATGTCTCGTCGGTGTCCCAGGGGCCTGAAGACCGGAGCGCAATGCTATATAAGGCGTCAAGGCTGGATCCTCTGGTGAAATCTTGAGTGATCAACCTTTTGAGGCGCTCGGATGGACGGTAGCCATCAATAAATCTGGCCGCCGTTGAAGCCCAGATAAAAAGGCCGCCGGCAAGATTAACCAAAGCTTGGATGTGCTGTTCCTCGGGCCAAGTTGGACCTAACTTTCTTTGCAGCCGAATGCGATCCACTTCGTGACGAATGAATAGCTGTACGTCCGCGGTGCTCGTCTCTGTATCTAAGGCCTTCTCCGTAAAGCAAGACCCGAAGTGATCTGTGAGGTCTTGCTCCCGACGACTGGTTATGAGAATACGAAAGAGACGGGGGAGTTTCGGAAACTCAGTGGCAAGTATGGAGAGCAAGGCAGCTCGTAAATTGCGATCCCCGCATTCATCGAGGGCATCAAGGATAATCAGGACAGGGCCCTGTATCGAATGCTCAACTGATTGGAGTGGCTCCAACAGCAACACCCTGAATTGTGTCTGAATAGGTGCGTTCACAATGGCGGGGTCGCGCTGAATCACGGCCGAAATCGCTGAACCAATGGACGGGTTTGAAAGCGCCAGAGAATGAGCGATTGTCCGGATTACAGCGTCAGGATGACTGCGGACATAGTCGTCTCTGTCGAAAAACAGGAAAGCTCCGAGTCGATCCATCCCTCGGAATAATTCAGACACAGTGGTTGATATTGTGCTCTTCCCCGATCCTGCGACTCCGGACAGCCATAATATGCTCCCAGAATCGGAAGGCACGGCGATCCATCCAATTATTTCATCCAATATTTCGCGACGTGTTCCTGGCAAACATGTGGGGCGAGAGGTCGCATCCATGTTCGCCGGATTCAATTTCTTGAGGAGCTCCGATTGCTCTGGGGAGACTCGTCAGGTCACTCAAAGGATTGAGGCGGCCACGCACCCAAACCCTCGACCCCTCGCAAGACTTTGGTGGATAAAAACAATAATTGTACAGACAGGCTGCCATCAAATGAAGCTCTCAGGTTGAGCAATGTTGAGGAAAGTTTCTCTATCTTCCCGTCTGGGTCTGTCCAGCTCCCATGAACGGCACGGCCTGATGACAATTTAACACGAGTGGGGCGTCGCGATCCAAGCCACTTACTGACGAAGCCGTTCGCGGTATATTCCTGGATGAATAGTGCGCATTCGACTGTTTGCTTGACGATAGCGAGGGCCTTATCTTCAACACTCTTCATTTTGTCTGCAAGAAAATCAACATCCTTGACGAAGGAATATACATCGGCCATTGTCTGGACGAGCTTGCACAGCTTATCATCGATGTTTTGCTCCTTTTTCACAGCCTAGTTTTTCAGTCAGTCAGTCGTAAATATAATATTCGTGTGCCGAACCTGGTACACGGAAGTCAAGACTTTCCATGCGACGTTGGCATAAGGGTGTATCTGGAATATGCATCAGCTGGGACATGTCTACGTGGGATAGCACCCTTACTGCGGCGAGGTCATCTCCGATGTTAACGATGATTTCCAGCTTTGAAGTAATTGAGTCCAGGGCTGCCTCAAGATTGTTTGCGGTCGACACGGACTGTTCAATGGCCATTTCCGCGGCCGCATCGTCGCTCAGCAGGCGCACATAAAT